ACCGGTAGTCGACTGAAAGCCCAAAATCATCAAAGGCACACCCATCCGGTACACATACAAGGGCATGTAAAAGGTGGCTGATGCGAATAGCTCGGTGGGAATCAATGTGCAAAGTGAAGGGTCCGATGTAAGTACCGGTTATCTCCATATTTTGAAATTGTTCAGCGCGACCAAAAGAAAATCGATTGTACCATTTACCATTATTGGCGGGGGGAAATGAGTTTTGTAATATCTTCATTGGTACGAATAGTCCAATTTTACTGTTTGATGCACGAAAATGTAAATCATTTTCCATGAAAAAACAATTTTTGTTAAGGCAACTCTAAACCGCGTGTGGAGGAGATCAACGAGAGCCGTTTAAAAACACAACGGCAATGTAGCAAAAGGCAAATTTTTGCTTACAGCATTGACAACCGTCGATGGTGATCACGTACGACCAAAATCCACGGTTTAAGTACGTGAAGTGCCAGGGGGCGCGTATGTACGGAAACCGCTGCAATGCAATCGTGGGTATTTCGTGGGTAATGTAAAATTTGATTTATGGCTTTTTTTTCTAAAAAATTCTAAGTCTGTTTTCGTCTCAACCATTTTTTAAACGGCCGTGATTCTCGGGTGACAGTCAGCCGTTGTACGGGGCCCCGTTGTCGGATGGATTAACGAGCGAGGGTCGTCGGTTGCGGGCACTTGTCTTGGACGGTTCTCGGTCGTGTAAATATATAGTTTTTCGAGGCGACAACGATATGGCCGAGTTTCCTGATGATGTTGGCCGTCGTTGCAATTATCCCGGCGAGGTTAAGTGCAAAAATCGTCGGTACGTGATTCCGAGAGGGACGGCGCGAGGGCTAAAAACAGTTTTTGCCTTCTGTTCGCCGGGGCAACGGAGATATTATTTTTCATACGGCCGAGTAAACGCCATATTATTTTACACGCGTGTAACACAAAACTATTCATAACCGTAATCCGCTGGGCATTTGTTACCGAAAACCCTTTTGGCGAATTTACTTTTCAGACGTAATATATATATTAGCGCACTGCTTGCGCGGTAGGTGTACTATACGGGCGACGTGCCCGAAATTTCTTAGCGAAAACGAATCGATTCTAATAAGTCCAGCCTACGAGTGTAGTGTACAATATTGTCGTAAGAACCGGTCGGTTTCAAATTGACATTACAAACATCCGCCGCGTGTACTTGATTACGATTTTTTCAACGACTACTCCAATACTTGTTGCTTACACACTATGGTAAAGTGTTTTGAAAAATCCCCTGGGAACGGGTGCAGGTTTACCGTGTGGTCAGGTGACGGAGTGGGAGGGTCGCTGATTTTTCTATTCTAGAAAGTCTCGTGTTATGTCCGAGATCGATACAACCACTCTTGACAAAAAAAACACACCCTTCAAAAAAAAAAAAAAAATGCTAACCCCAATAAAAATACGCTAAAACGAAAAAAAAAATTATATTTATTTTCATCAGAGTTTTTTGGTTGTACTCTACCTCGTGATTTGATTCATACTTTGATTAATAATCATAAATATTAAATTGTTCAATAGCCATTGAATGTATATTATTTATTTTATATTATGTTAATATATTATAATCAGTATAATTGTAGAATTGTTTTACTGTGTTGTTACTTTATACATTTTATTTGGATGCCATATTATAATATTGTTTGTGTTTTTCATAATAATGTATCAAAAATGTTCATAATAGGTATTTAGTCTTTGCAAAGCATTTTAAAAATATTTTGTATATAAAATTGGTACCGGATTTAAAAAGTTAGTATTATGATGGTTCATAATTAAAAATTTTAAATTAGTTTTCTGGATATCGCTTATGATCTTCGTTCTTCAACTTAAATACTACAAAATCATTTTTTTTTTAATCGTAAAGACCACTTTACCAATCGCTCTCTCATTACGTTGGTATTGTTAATTATATAAATTAATTTAATTTAAAGAATAATAAAATGTTATTTATAACTCTTGTTTTACGTTTGGTATTTTCAAGACTTTCACGGTGCAGTAATCGATTTCGCTATTTTTGTGTGTTTATTTTCAAAATATATACATATATATATATATATATATATATATATATAAAGGTACCTGTACACATTTTTAACAGTAGCTAAAGAAATTATATTCTATAATCAATCATCTATTGAAAAATAATGTCAAAGAAAAATCAAAACTGTCATCTGTTTTACTTTAATTCATATTATTTATTAATACTCTTTTTTTTAATACTATACGTGATCAATACTTTTTAATCAAATGATTTCCAAAAAAATATCACGTGCGAATTATGAACATAAAATACTTTAGACACGCTGATAAACAGAATATTTGCAACTTTAAATACCAACAAATGCAAGTATTCGAATAAATTAGCTAGAGTTGAATTATTTATAATGAACACTAATGTGTTTTTTTCGACATTATCCTTCATGGAAATTGTTAAAACTTATTTTAAAATAATCCCATTAAAATTTTTAAGAAATTGTTTCCAACGGCAAAATTTCTAAGTGTAGTTATAGTCGTTAAACAAAACACAACTCACTGACGGATTCAAATCGATTCCTCTGTTTTTTTTTTTCGTAATACATTTTTTAAATAGCAACAATTTTTATTTCATTAGAAATAGGTATTAAACTACAATTTATATAGACCTATAATAAATGGCCATTCTCATCAGTTAAGCTTAAAAATAAAGTGTATTTTTTTTTTTTTTTAGCTTTTATTGGGAAATGTGAAAGTGTATTTTAACAATACTGGAATTATTAGGCTAAACTATAAACTTTAAATTTAACAGCCTAGAGAAAATAAAACTTCTCTTAAGTAAGTCAAACATAATTTTTCAAAGTCTCAAACTTCCTTAAAATGGGTTATACGAATAATTATTTCCTATGAAATACCTAACTGATACCCTCTATCCAATAAGAACTTCTCAGTAACAAACGTATATTGACTTCTCGATTAACTTGATTTTTATTTTGATAAAATCAAATAATATTTTATTGGTAACCAATAAAAGTTACCAGGAGGAACCCTAAAACGTTAGTTATGATTATTAATTACTATTTGAATAATATTAGTGTGCTCCCAACAACACAAGACAGGTAAAATTCAGTCCCACTGAGAATATTAACGACTAAAAGGTAAAGAAACTATTTTAGGTTTTATATCACTTTTGAAGTTTTACTTATAAGCACTTAGTTGAGATGACTAGGATAGGCTACTGTAAATAGTTGAATGAATTGAATAGAAAAAAGGAGAAAATGAGTTAAAAACTTAGAGTAATGTTATACTTAATGATTTCTACCAAAAAAAAAATTAGCTTGACTGTTGTAGGCCAATTAAGTTTTTTTTTTAATTGTGGCCACACATAGGCTAAAATACGATTAAGATTTGAATTATTTTGGTATCTAATGCTAAATAGTATGTATGTATCTAACAGGTGGAATTCGAAGAAACATGGGCAGGGTGTAGGTATGACCTATAAAAAGTCGATTGATGACTGACTAATATTTTCATTAGAGTGGTTTAAGCAGTGTGGTCTAATTGATTGGTTGCTAATCTTGTTCTAAGAAAAGTTATGCTGGTGCTGTTGCCATACAATATTCATTTGTTTTTTTTACTTAGGGTTATTTATCTCGTTTAGCTGAATACTAACAAACTGTAATTGAATATCTTTCGCACTGCTTTTATATTATTTTCGATTTTCTGTCGTTTTCAGGAATCGTGGGGAAATGTATACAACTATTAGTTTTCCACGTCAATCGGTTATTGTTGCTATTTCTTGTGCCATGTCAGAAACGGCGAAGCGTCCATAATATAATATGTATAAATAAATAAGTGTTTATGGTTTTGCTATGTGTATATATTAATTTTCGTCAAATAAAAAACACGGTCATCGAACTATACTATATTGTATTCTCTTTATAATAATGTTGTAGACTTTATATTGTGTTCAACTATTCATTTTGTGTATACGAAGGCGAAACCGAATTTCCCGGTACTTTTCTTTTTTAAGTGTCCCATAGTGCCCCACAGACTTTATAATAATTATCACCCTCAATACTTAGAGGTATTAATTTCGTGTAATTATCAGGAACGTCGAGTTCGGGGCGACCGATGTATTATAAATATGCAAATTGACCGGGGAAAAACGAGACAGTGAAAATTTACGATGGCCGAACAAGTTTTTCGGATGTGTATATCAAAGAGCAAAGACAATAGCCATGGGGAGAAAATAATAAAATATAAGAGTTGGAACGAATAGGAAAGTGTCGGGGACGAGCAACGAACGATGACATAGCGGGCGTGCCGCCGAGTGGGGATGACGTAGAAAAAGCAAAAAAGAACCTAACAATATCTCCTTCCTCTTTTTTGTCCCATTGTTTGTAAAATAACTATGAACATAAATACACCATGCTTTCTTTGCACATCCTATTCGCTTGTTCGCCAAAAACATAACCATTATAATAATATATAGGAAAACAACTCAAAATACCCGAAACCGCAACACATCCAACCGTTATAGCTTATCTTACCTATACAAGGGCACCCACAAGGAAGGGCAGGGTGGACAACCCCCCCCCCTAGTTTCTATGTAAGTTAAAAAAAACTATGTCCAATATCTCAAATTTGCCAAATCTATTACAAAATCATGAATTTCCTCATGCGGACGTCCTTGTACCTATATGTATCTTGTTAATTTTCAATTAAACCTTGTAATATAGTAATTTATACATTTTTTATGGAAAATGCAATTAAAACAGCTGTTTTCCACAAACACACGCACATTCTGGTAGTTTGACATGCGATTAATTCGATTACAATATAATATGTACTGTAATAGAATTATAGTATGTAATTTATTTATAAATCCTTTATATCATAGAAACTGTAGCTTTAGTTTCGCTAAACTCCGAATAGTAATTAATTAATCTACATTTTAAAATGATAAATTCAACTAATTGTAGATACATTTTTTTCAGATATCTTAAAGACAACTGGTCAATTGTTTGAAAACGTCTATAAATTGTAAGTAAGATTTATTTATTTCTTAGATTTTACATTATTCCAATACAATATTTTTATAGATTGTTAATGGTGAAAATGTAGCTAATACATTTGTACCGCAATAACCAATTAAAACAGCTATCGTTATCTTGTACTAAGATTGATTCGTGTAAAGCAGAAGAACTTGACTACTTAAAACTAACTTAGTTAGTATCAGTACTTAATTGTGCGATTAATTATAATGAAAACTTTTCGTATTTATCCAAAAAATATTTAAAATAAACGTCAACTCGTAAGTTTTGAGCAAGTACACTTTGTTACATTATACTAACATTCATTTAAGATAAACGCCGTTCATGTTTTTTGCGTTTTTCGTATAAACTCATCAAGTGTTCTGTGCCTTTTTATTTCCGCTCTGTCGTGTATCCGCTACCCGTTGTTTTTTTTCTTACTTTACTACGTTACAGAAAATAATAACTTTAAACGTATTTCTTTAAATAAATATTTAATCGCTGGAATTGCTTCATTTTTCTGGATGTAAAACCCACTAGTCTCCCTTCTATCTGTTTATTTTTATAACTGGTAAAAAAAATAACTGCCATTTTTGATTATTATGACCTCGAGGTTTAGCTAATCAAACATGGAAACCCCTTTGTAATTGTTTTTATATTGTTTTTTCCCCGGTCTGGGGATTAAAGAAAATATATTGACTTCGTCTTGTAAGATATTATCATGGGGTATGTCCACAGGGATATAATGTTTCATTATTGGTTTGATTACTTTGTAAGACAACATTATTATTTAACATAATACTTCCATGACTTCTCAGAAAAACAACTTATTTTAACAATGTCATTATTGTAAAACCTACTTAAACCAGCCATTGTTTTTTTTTTTAATTTTTTTAAGATAATTTGAACAAATTGTTGTCAACTAGATGGTGAATATATCATCCCGTTTTAACCAATATCTCTCATTAAATTTACTGAGTATCTTATCATTGGCAATATTCGATTTTATTAAAAGAAGAACTACTAAAAACATTATAACCGTTGAAATTAAAAATATGAGACCATCACATTAGATTACATTAAATCTCGTTATAAACTGTGTTAACCACACCCTGATCGGCGTTAGTTATAAATAATGCCATTTTAAGTTTATAAAATAAATATAATATTTGCTGTACACTTAAATATATAATATATATACATATATATATATATATATATATTAATAAAAGTATAATAAATATGCGTTTATATATCTATTGTCTAATCGTATAGTTATGTTAGTTATTAAGATTATATGTAAAATGTTCTCATTTTATTGTAGATATTATGAAAGATTCTACGTAGCTCCGCTGTTCTTTTTCAAAACAAATATATTGATCATCGTTATCATATTGGTAACTGTAATTACCAAGAGATATGAAAAGAACTTAATTCTCTTATGAAAACATACAAAATAGACCCCCTATAAAACTATTAGAAATGCAATCACTATAACAGTCCTACGTGTTAAAAATCAAGAAAGTCTAAACGCCGATCCCGTTTGGCTGATCTTTTTTTTTCTTTTGTACATAAGACTTGACTGTTGAGAGAATTTCTACTGATGACGACGGTGAATAACCAAAAAAATCCTGATAGACTTTCATGGGTTATTTGCCGCTAAGTGCGTGATTAATACCATGTTTTTGGACGTTATCCAGTGTACGGCGGCCCCGGTGACAACGACCCACTCTGCTTTTTGTCGTCGGTTGTTTTTTTTTTTACCCCGAAACTGCGTTTTTACTAAAACGTTTCTCTTCTTAATGTTTATCTCGGACAATAGGTCGTCGCTTTTCTTGGCCGTTTTTGAGTACACATTAAGCTGATATTCTTTTGCTAATACCGCCTGCCTAACGTACACACGTAAGTACACTAATCGGATTGCTTTATTCTCGCCCGTTCTCTCGCTGCAGCAGTTGTCTCTGAAATAATAAACGATGACGGCGATGGTCCTTATTCGCTCCGGTACGCATTTCGTATATAATATAATATTGTACGCGTCCAGAAACACACACACACGCGTGTCGGCTGAAATGATTAATTAAACGTTTTAATATAATTTATATATAAAGAGTAAGCAGCTGGTACCTGCCCGAGGCTTGTGAACAAAACGTTGTCTACATCAACCGGTGCAGCCGAACCACCGAAACAAACATCCCGGCCAGAATTAGAATTTCCACATTCACAAAAAAGGCGAATTTCGCCCTTAAAGAACCTAACAAGCGTTTATAGATTAACTGGCGTTCACGCGAAATCGACTTGCTTGGAAAACCGTCTCAGCAAGAGCTCCAGTTTGGTTCAGACATTTTTAGTTTAACTAAATACGCTGCCGGTACAAACTAAATCTCCCCAAATCCTTATCAAAATTAAAAAATAAAAAGCGCACGTCATAGAAAAAACAGTATCTTCTATGCTCCCGGTCGAAGCTGAAATAGTTTATTGTACATCGATTTAACATGTTTTTGCGATGATAAACCTTTCGTAAGCAACGTTGTACAAAACCCGACACGATAAGGAGAAAGAAGGGGGAAAATAGCTGATGAGAATGGGTATATTTATAGTGACTCGCTAATAAGAGACATGACAGCTATAAGAACGATGATCGACAAGGGAGCACGAGCTAGTAAGATATATGATATAGGTATACGAATAGTTAGAGACTCGCCGGTGAATTTTTAAGTAGTGATAACAACGGTAATTGAGTAGAAGGCTGAAATTGATTATTTATACTTTGGTTAGTAGTAACTGTAGAATATACAATAAAGAAAATTAATAGCCAAATTATTCAATGGAATAAAATAAAACGATAAAAGGCCTGAACATAAAGCAAAATATAGCAGCGATGATTGAAAGAACATAATATCAAGACGATATTTTGCCATGCATTATACTATGTTCAAGATAAAAAAAATTAATTGAAAGCCATTAAAATAAAAAAATTATAAAAAAAACCACCAGGAAAACAAACACACAACTGACCACCTCACTTCTCCAAAGAAAACATAAGGAAAAACTCATTGCATAATAATTCTGTGTGAACGATTTCTACCAACGACTCGTCTACTGGAATGCTACCAATAAGAGGAAATTGTAAGACAGTAGAGAAGGAAAATATTGTACTATATTAAGATTGCTGACTATTGTCAAAGAAGGGAGTATAAACGTTTCCCAACCGATAAACGCAAATAATATAAGAACACCGTAAAGTCAATTTATGTCGAGATTTACATAAGCAGACTTGTGTATGTAAATAACACTGATCGTGTAAGTTATCAGTAAACCCATTGGTTTACCGATTATTTACTTATATTCTAAAAACAATGTTTGAATAGCATTGTACATATAAGTATATATCATTACAACTGTATAACATTCATTCCACAAAAACGGTTCGTTTTTGCTTATTCGACTATTGTCGACAATAATTATTTATTATGCACAAATAATACCGTTTCTCGTTTATAGAAATTATGTATGGCCGAGTTTGTATGTTTTTCGAAGAGCTGCTTTCGCTTTGGAAAGTAAACGGCTTTTAAAAAAAAAAGCTATAAAAAAGGTGTAAAGCGTAATATGTGTACCTGTTATTATTTAAAAGTTCACGCATACAATACATTATCTACTGAAATATACACACAATATTATGTAACGTGCACATTTTAAAATAATGTCATTAATCGGTTGTTTTTTGTTTCAATGAAATTCGATTAAAGTTTTTACTATTTAACACTTTTATGTACTTTAAAGTTTAAAGTTGCGTCAAAATACAGGAATACGGGCCTGTCATTCGATGTGAAACATCTGGTGTGTCACTAACATATATTTGACACGGTCAAAAAGGGAATTGTCGGTGCTCCATATGAAACGTGGTTAACCCTCATAAATACGGTCAAAATCCGGACTTACTGTCAAGAGATTTTCTGATAAAAAATGCAGAAAATAACTGAAAAAACTGTCATGTGTGGTTTATATATGTACATTACCTAGGTTGTATATATTCTCCAAAAGTGCATTTATTTTTTTAACGACATCAAGCGGATCTTCTTTGTACGGTTATCTGATTATTAATGTACTAAAAAATACTTATATTTAAAATACTTTTTGTCTATTAAGTAATTATTATTGCATTTTCTTACGGATATTTGCCAATTTTATCTTTACCAATAGTGATTTATTTTTTGTGAAATCAAGTTTCTATTAGGTACTCATTAATTATTGAACGATAGTTGTTCTTTTCTTCGTTCAAACTGTACATTTTTTTTGGCTTAATAATTTATTTTTCAATAGAATACTAATTAATATAACAGTCTAAATAAAGTTATCAAACGAATAACCACAAACATATCGAGAGTGAAATAGATTGGGTTACAGCCAATGTTCAATGAATTAAATATTTATTCAAAAAATGTTGAACTAAAAGTATCTACTAAGAATTTGAGAAGTACAATTATATCATAGTATTATTTTAATAAATTTTAAGTGTTGGCAGCGCGTTAATGGTCTATATGATTGGACTAAGTTGGAAAATCATTATTGATACAATATTTTAGTATAATATGCAAGTATTGATCGGTACACGATATAGTAGTTTACAAACCATTTAAAAACTGTAACAAAATAATTTGATTTTCAGTGCAAAAATACAATTAATATTATCAAATAAATGTTTATTTAAAACTTTTTGATATTATTAATGGGTGTAATTAGCTTGATTATAACAACAAAAACGATAGTTACGCTATGTACCTAAATGTCATTTAACGTCGAATAATTAGGATGAATAACATAATTACCTTACTTGGCATATAAATTAATACTATTGTTTGAATTTATTATGTAAATAGTTTGTAAAATATTGATAGAATGGAAATAAAATCAATCCAAAACTTAATTGGTGCTTCTATTTTTCGTTTTGTAAATAAAATATTATAATTTTATTTTTAAAATGGTAGAAATGGTTAAAATGTGTAAAACATAC